CCTGGCAATTACAGGCCAGTAAGTGTAACTTCAGTACCAGGCAAATTGGTTGAAACTATAGTAAAGAACAGAATTATCAGACACACAGATGAACACAATTTGTTGAGGAAGAGTCAACACAGCTTTGGTAAAGGAAAATCATGCATCACCCATTTATTAGAATTCCTTGAAGCAGTCAACAAATGTGCGGACAAGTATGATCCAATGAACATAGTGTACTTGGACTTTCAGAAAGCCTTTGGCAAGGTCCCTCAATCAAAGGCTCTGAAGTCGTGGGATAAGAGGGAAGGTCCTTTCACGGATCAGTAACTGGTTAAAAGGAAACATAGTAGGAATAAATGGTCAGTTTTCAGAATGGAGAGAGGTAAATAGTGGTGTCCCCCAAGAATCTAGTACAGGCGCCAGTGTTGTTCAATATATTCATAAATAGTCTGGAAAAAGGGGTAAATGGTGACCTGGCAAAATTTGGAGAAGATAGAAAATTACTCAAGATAGTTAAGTCCAAAACTGACTGTGAAGAGTTACAAAGTTTCTCATGAAACTGGGTGACTGAGCAAAAAAATGGCAGATGAAATTTAATGTTGATAAATCCAAAGTAATGCACATTGAAAAACATCCCAACTATACATAAAAAATGATGGGGTCTAAATTAGCTGTTACCACTCAAGAAAGAGATCTTGGCGTCATTGTAGCTAGCTCTGAAAATATCTGCTCCATGTGCGGCAGCAGGCCAGAAAGTTTAGGAATCATTAGAAAAGGGATAGATAATAAGACAGTAGATATAATGCCACTATATAAATCCATGCTATGCCCACATCTTGAATGCTGCATGCAATTCTGGTCACCCTATCTCAAAAAAGATACGTTAGAAATGGGAAAGGGAAACAAAAATGTTTTAAGGGTATGGAATAGCTTCTATATTAGGGGAGATTAAAAAGACTGGAACTGGTCAGCTTTGAAAAGAAATGATTGAGGGGGGAATATGACAGAGGTCTGTAAAACCATGAATGGTGTGGAGAAAGTGAATAAGGAAGTATTATTTAACCCTACACATAACACAAGAACCAGGGGTCATCCAATGAAATCAATAGGCAGCAGGTTTAAAATAAACAAAAGGAAACATTTCTTCACACAGTGCACAGTCAACCTGTGGAACTCATTGCCAGGAGATATTGTGAAGGCCAAAAGTATAACTGGATTCAGAAAAGAATTAGATAAGTTCACGGAAGGTAGGTGCATCAATGGCTATTAGCCAAGATGGTCAGGGATGCAATCCCATGCTCTGGATGTCCCTAAACCTCTGACTGCCAGAGGCTGGGACTGGACAACAGGGGATAGAATCATAGAATACCAGTGTTGGAAGAGACCTCAGGAGGTCATCTAGTCCAATCCCCTGCTCAAAGCAGGACTAATCCCCAGACAGATTTTTGCCCTAAATCGCCTCCTCAAGGATTGAACTCACAACCTTGAGGTTTAGCAGGCCAATGCTCAAACCACTGAGCTATCCCTCCCCCCAAAGTCACTTTTCCCTGACTGGAAAATGAACCTAGGCCGTGGCAGTGAAAGTGCCAAATCCTAACCACTAGACCACCAGGGATAGATCACTTGATAATTACTCTGCTCTGATCATTCCTTCTGAAGCTTCTGACATTGGCCACTGTCTGAAGACAGGCTACTGGGCTGGCTGGACCATTGGTCTGACCCAGTATGGTCATTCTTATGTTCTGAACATAGAACTAGAAGACTGTCCCTGCCCTGAAGAGCTGACAGTCTCAAAATGCTTTATTGTACTGACTAGTAGGAAGTGTCTATGGACAAGTGGTGGTCCATCAATCCAACTGCTGGCCTGTTGGATTTAGCTGGGATGCAGGAACTCTAAATTCTAATCCTGCCTCTGACACTAACTCACTGAATGGCCTGGGGAAAGCCACTTAAAACTATGTCTATGACATTGAGAGTTACTTTGTATCCTGCCCATCCCTTATCTGTTTCCCCACCTATAAAGTGTGGATGGTAACTGCAGTGTGATGAGGACTGTGTATGTGAACCATACAGAGCTATGAGATGGCTAAATGCTGTAAGTGTTACATTTTTGTTTGATGCCTCTTGAGAGGATGTTATGTTCAGCAGCAGCTCCTTTAGGTCATTGAGGAATGATACTACCGAGCGCAGAAGGACAGTGACCAAAAAGAGGTGTGAAACAGAAAAAATGGGAGGAAGTCTGTATCGTTTGGGTTTTAAATATAGATGTGGCAGGGAAGTCACTGGTGGGAAGGAAACATCCATCACATGGCTCATAGTCTCAAGTGGTCTTCGTACATGATTGGATTGCTATCACTGTGCACCACAGCCAGCAAATGCTTCTTCCCTAAGAGGAAGATGGGCTGCGCAGGAGTGTTGCCAGCCTGCTTCTGAGAGGTCATCTCCTGTCTTGACCCTCATGATACGATCTTATGTACATTAATAAACAGAGGACAGGTCTTACTTGATCCTAACAAAGAGAAAGAGAGTGCTTTCTAGAGCTGCTGTTCCGGAAGCAGCATGGTGAGATTTTTCTTGTACCAATACATCTGAATTTGCTCTGTCACAGTAAGCTACTCCAAGCAAAACTAGAGAACTCCAGGTTCTTAGCTTCAGAGTACGTCAGCTAACTGCCTGAAGAATAAAATGCCCTATTCAGGTTAAGATGCACCAGTCATCATGGTATTTGAGTACCCGAATCCCTGCAGAGCTGCCAGACCAGAGAAAACTTGTGCCAGGGATTCTGAACACCAACTCCATTGCAGCTCTCTGGGCACTTTGCAGGAGTGGGACAAAGATCTAGCCAGATGTTCTGCAAAGTGTACAGAACCATGGGCCTATCAACCCACTTATGCAGGACCTAGTAAAAGTGATATTTCTGCTATGCCCATATAGCTGAAACATGCCCCCTGCTGTAGATTGGGGATGAAGACCATTCCTCAGCTCCATGTGCATTTGTCTGGACTGTGCACTCTACCAGGATTTTACCCTTTAACAGCAGCCATGATCCACTTTGGAAACAATTTCCCGTCTGTGATGGGCATTGTGATGCCTATCTATAGACTCTGTAAAGGGGCTATGTAAATGTAAGACATTAATTACTATTTTTGCTTATTGCTACTCTCTTCTGCGTAATGTGGGCTCACAGTAATTTAGAGATTGGCAACTGTATCGGTGCAAATTCTTAATAGTCCTTTGTCAAAGCAAAAGTGATGTTTCCTATCCTGCATGTATCTGTACTCTGGCCAATGAACAGAGCAGGTTGTTTGTTTGTTTTTTTTTCTGTTGCAAACTGTGTGACTAGATAATGAGTTTTATTCATTATTTGGCAAACAGTTTGTGCATCAGTTTCAGTCTGTGGCTTGCTCCTGAGCTGCAACTGGTCCAAATTTTCTATTCAAACTGTGATTGGTCACCTAATTTGCATGTTCTTGTTTCTTGGTCCCTGATTGGATGACTGAAACTTTGGAAAGTACTTGGGGCCCAGTTTTGCTAGGGGCTGAATAAGCCAGCAAAGTAGAAGGCAATTCCTACTCCCAAAGAATTCAGTTATGCAGGACTTTAAAGGGGAGCATAATGTTTACAAAATGATTTCAGGCTTTAAAAAGCAATAGTTTTGTAAATCTTTTCAGTAGACCAAATGTATTTTGTTTGATTTTAAATTCTCCTAAATAATATTTATCTGTTTTCAAAAGGAAAGTTAAAGTCTGTTGATTAATCAGAGATAATCCAGGATTACTGGACATCCTGCACTTTTTTTTTTAGTAGCAGGGAGTGCTTTAATTAGAAAGGTACTAATGTAGATTAGGGCATTAACTGTACTGGACTCCTCCCATATCGCCAATGAAATGACGACTGCATTGGGAGAGCCATTTTGATAATCAGAGCTCAAAAATATTTCATTAAACAATACCCAATAATCCTCGGCGTGATTATTAAAATATCCCACAGTGTGCAAGGCATTTGAGACACAGAAACAATTTCCCATCTCCAAAGAGTTTGCAATCTTAAGTGCCAGCTCCTGCAAACCCTTATGTGAGTATACCCAACTCACACAACTAATTCCACTGAAGTCAATGGGCTCATTCATGTGAGTAAAGGTGTGCAAGACCAGCCCTAAGAAGACAATTTTCAGACAAAGGATATCAAAACTGTAATCTAGTTGAACAAAATGCATTTCTTCTTACCCGGCTAAGAACCTTCAGCACTAAATATTCCATGCAGTGCCAATCAAAGTGATGGTCTAGAGAGAGAGAGGGTATAGTGCCATAAGACAATCAGAATGGTGGAGAAAAATGGGAAGAAATAACTTTTTTTTTTAATAGAGGGAAGAAATTATGATCACACTAAGGATTCGTTCATCTGTCACAGAAACCAACCATTTAAAAGGCTTGAAAAAGCAGATGAAGAAAACCCCCCATCGTACTGTACTTTCTGTCCAACGGGATAAAAATATGAATGGCTAAAAGGATTGTTTTTGCTTAATGAAGAATCCTAGTTTTCAAATCTCATTGGACTGTGTACATCCAACAGGATTTGCTGCTCAGTAGCCTGAATTTTACAATTCTGCTGTGATCATGTAATCAACCAAGTCTTATTTTAATTCAGATACTGTGTGTTCTGATGAAGGCTCTTTGGTCTCCATGTAATTGAGAGTTTCAAGACTAAAGAAATCAAAATGCTTCTGTGAACTATGTGAATTTTTCTGTATTTACAATTAGCTTAAGGTATTAATATTAAAAGTAGGGAGCTGCATCTAATGACTTTTTGGAGTAATCTGAACCATCTGCCTCTAGATACTAAGGAGTTCACCACTTTAATCCAGATTATGGCTGACGAACTGTTTTTGGCATCCACTTCTCACTAGCATTGTGCCCTTGAAGAGCTGCTGAGGCTGTAGAAATTCCCTTGCTGACAAACATACTGTTGTCTTTCGGGAGCCTTTTTTGGTTTTGTTTTTAAATTTTCTTGGGAAGAAAATGGCTTTCTTAATGAAAAGCATGTTGAGCAACCAGGTAAAGAATTTAGGACTTGGTGGTGGAGGTGAGGAAAGCAAAGAAGAAAGTGGTCCTTCCGACCCAGCTGCAGCAGCAGGAATGACTAGAGAGGAATATGAGGAATATCAAAAGCAAATTGTTGAGGAGAAGTGAGTACACATTCCCTTATTATCAATGTGTGACTAATTCATGATGACTTGGCTCATCTGAGAATAACCCCAGAAAAAGTCAGTACATTGTCTCCTTACCCCACATTCCTATTTTTAAGCATAGGGAACATTGCCTTGCCGAACAGCCTCTCCAAAACAAAAGCTCATCTAGCTGCAAATTGTAAGATGTTTTGTATCGTGGTTTCATCCTTCACCCTCATTTCCAATCCTCCCCACCTCCCCACACACTCACCTACACATCTTGAGCTGGTGTTGCTTTCTGCTTCCATATGGGCAAGAGAATTTCTTTCAAGTTTATTTCTGTAGGTTTAATGGTGTAAATGCTGGTTGCAATCTAAGAATGCAGTGGTTAATGCTGAAAATCACATGATCTACCCTCTTAAAACATAAATCTGATATGCTTAAAATATTTAATCTCCCCCATTTATCATTGCAAAAATTGAGGACAGGGTAAGAACGAAGAATGTAAAGCTGGTAATGTTTATTCGAAGGATGCTTGACTAATTTCAAAACTATAAATTTAAACCATTTTTTCAGTTGTCCAAACTCTATTAAATGAAGGAGAGAGGTTTTGATCTCTGTTTATAGCTCAGGAATTTTATTTGGCTGATCATTGCAATCCGTAACCACATTCTGACAAGTAAAATGCAGGGGCACTGTTGACATAGCAGATATAAAATAAAATAATGAGTTTCAAGCAGGTAGGAGTTTAAACCCTGTAGAATTATAAAGAAAGACAATTGAATTCTAAATCTCCACTGCATCTAGTTCACTAATGATCAATTACATAATGGTTGTCTAAATCCTACATTTAAGATGATTATAGGTGAAAGGTTAATGACTTATAGAATTTAAGAGGTATCCAGGTCTATATTTAGCAGCAGCAACTTCAGTCACAAAATTCTGAATAAATGTAACCTGTTTGTAAACACAATTCAAAATGTTACTTTCTTTTGTGGTACATTACATAGGGGGAGATTATTTTTTCTTTTCAATCCGCCTGCAAAAAGATGCTGTGCTGGAATAGATAAGCAAAGCAAGAAATCTGGAGAGGAGGAAAGATTCGAAAGAGAAGAGCATGTTCTTTTAATAATGTTTTGAAGTCTGCTGTGTTTGTTAAATATGAAGCTGTGCTATAAGTCAATAACTGAACAATATTCCTTCCAGCACAGGTGGGAATAGGGGAACTGTAATGAAAATGGTTGTGTTTTTGCACAGAAAAACTGAATGATGGAACTGGACGCTGCACTGGTTCTGTAATTGTATTTCAGTTCATCCTGGAATCATGATCACAGATGCAACATCAGGTTTTAGTGACCTCCTAATTTTACTCAGTTTTACAGCTGCACAGCCTGAGGATCAAAGAGGTGAAGTGACTTGCCCACGGTCACCCAGTGAGTCAGAGGCTCAGACTGGATTAGAACCCCTGACGTGACCCCGTTGTCTCCACTATTTTTGTTTAACCTCTAACCAACACTGCTTAGGTTAAAAATGTAAAAATGCATCAATCACCATCTGGAAGGCATGTAAAGGAGCAAATGAGAGACTTGTTAAAAGCGAAGGGGTCCTCTAATGAGTCACATAGTCCATTCTCCTGCATCATAAAAAGGTTGATTTCACTATTCATGATAGATGGGCATCAATTCTAGCCTTGATTTTCTAGAACTTCATCTCTGAAGTCACACTTTGACCCCATCTTCTTTATAAAGATTTGAGGATAGCAATAAATAAGTGGGAAATGACTATCTACAAATATGTGATGGATGTAAAAATGCAGAAAGAGAATCTCTTATTATTGTACATGGGCAGGCTACTTAGAGTATTGGGATGACATTAGGTGAGAAAATGTATGCTGAATATCAGAAAAAGTTCCTGAGTGAGATCTATTCGGCTGTGGAATACCTTTTCAAGTGGACGCTTAAAACTAGCTTACGTGAAACTTTAGAATAGGTTCCACAGAAAATAATGTTGCACCAGCAAGAGGGTGAACTACACGACCTAATAGATATGTCACAGTTGTTATGAAGCTACAACAGCCCATTAACCTCTAGTGGACAGGAACAGGAAACTGCATGGCAGGCAATTGCACATTATGTATGCAGGTTTTTAACTTTAAAGGAAGTTTTTCTGCTAAATCCACGTATATTGTTTTGAAAGCTTATGGTTAAGATTTGATCAAACCACTTTTGGTATATGTACAAAAAACAAACATTTTATGAAAAAAATTCATGAAAATTAAGAAGTTTGGAGAATGTGTGTGTGTGTGTGAGGGGGGGAGGAGTATTTCTCAACCAGCTGTAGTGCTATCAACTTTACAGCTGAAAATATAAACAATCTAACCAAAAATCACAGTGAATTTTTTTTTAAATCAAATTAAGTAAAATTTCAGTAAAATGGCCATTCATAAATTTGGCAGTGACGAATGTCTGTTTACCCCTTATGTGGCTTCAGTCTCGGAAGGTATTTGATAGGAATGGCCAAATCCTGGAGTTTTGATTAAGGACTGTTGCATTTGGCCCAAAGGTAGCGTCCCTTTAAAACATCGCTTGGAAGCAATAGTCATGTGAGGGGTAAACAAACCTATGACCACTTTTTTTTTTTTTTTTTTATATCCCATTAAATTTGTGGCGATATATGTGCCTCCCTTCAACAGGCACATTGTTACTGAATGGAGGAAAAGATTCTCCTCTCAGATTATGAGGGAAAGATTTTAACTTTCAGATTCTGTTGTACAGAGCTCTCCATTGATCTCAGTGATAATCAATGCAAGATCCAGCCACGTAGAGAGAACAAAACTGGAGGAGAGACCAAAACATCACTTATGTCATTAGACTTGTCCTTTATTTCTTACAGAGATTAATGACCTACTAGACTAAGCACAGGCCTGGTAATCAGGGACTCCTGACTTCTAGTGCAACCTCTAACCATGACTCCATTTGTAGCTTTGGACCAGTAACTTAACTTTGTGACTCAAGTTCCCCTGTAAAATGGGCATAATACTAGCCTACCTCCCATAGGTGCCGTGAAGCTGATTAGTAAATGTCTGGAAAGAGCTCTACATATGTTCATTGTTGTTTGTTTAGTCTGATACAGACTATGCTGTGTTAAAGCATAAAATGGGATGAGAATGACTTCAGCCTGTAGTTTTCTGTAACTGAGTAATTAGTTCCGTGACAATGACAAGTTGTCACATGATAGGTTTCTGGTTACACACCTATTATTTTGATTTTCAGGATGGAGAGAGATGCAGCGTTTGCACAAAAAAAGGCAGAGAGAGCTTGTCTGAGGGTTCATCTGAGAGAAAAGTACAGGCTTCCTAAGGTAAGATGAAGTCACAATCATGACCTAGTTCGCAGGCCAATTTTAAAACAGTTGCAGTCAGACCTGCTGTCTGGCTGGGGAGATTTCCATACCCATGTCATCTTCCAATAAATGTGCACATTGAGACTATCGAGTCTCTTGGCCAAAGAGATTCCTATGCTACACTACACTACACTTCACATAACACAAAAATGGAGGAAGGCTGGCTCTAGGTTCTCAAAAGCGGCTAGTGATTTTCAGTGCCTCCATTTTAGGTGCCCAACCTGAGATGCTTTAAAGGGACTTGATTTTTAAAGGGTGCTCAGATAAATCTCCATCAAGTTTGGCACTCAAAATTGCTAGTCACCCTTGAAAACCCTGTCTCGTTAAGGCGTGGGGATTGGGCTTCGGAGACCTTAGTTTTATTCCTGGAAGAGATGGCTGAAAATTTTCCATCGGTATGGGTTTTTCAAGAAAATTGGGGTTTGATAAAATGAAATTTTTGGCAAAATGTGTCTGCTTTAGAAAACTTTGATGTTTTTGTCAAAAATCTTTTGGTTTTTCCAAGGAAAAAGTCAAAATTATCCATGGGAGGTGGAGGGGGGGCATTTTCTGACCCACTCTAATTCCTGGCTCTGCCACAGCCTGCCTCTTGCTTTGGGACCCAGTATAGAATCACTTAATCTCTCTGTGCCCAAGTTTCTCCACTTTACCTCGCAGGATTATTGTGAGGCTTCATTGATTAATATTTATATGAGCTACTTCAGATGGGCAGCCCTATAGGAGTGAAAAATATTTTAATGATAAAATAGTGTTACTGAAATAATTTTTAAAAATCTTATGGTTTCTTACTCCAGTTGTCCCACCTACAATAATGGGGGTGAACTGCCCTTTGCAATATTACCGGGTATCACCACAATTAAATATTTGGAGTAAAATTTTCAAAAGTGCCTAGGTGATTTAGGAGCCTACATTCCTTTTTCTTTTTTTTCTTTTTTTTTTAAGTGACACACTGTGGAGGCTAAATTCCATTGATTTTTCAATGAGACTTCAGCTCATAAGTGTGTTGGTCATTTCTGAAAATGGGATATAGGCTCTTTTGAAAATGTTACCCTTGGTTCTTGGTATGTATTATTAAGCATAAAAGGGGAGGACAACTTGCAGGTGAGACTTGTGTGGCTTTAGGTTCCTGTTACTCCTCAATGAGAGAATTTTGGAAGGTCTGTAAGCAGCGTGCTTTGGCAGCAAAAGAAAAGAAGAAAAGAGGAAGTTGGAGCTGAATTGGCATTGGCAGTGGTTTGAGCATTGGCCTGTTAAACCCAGGGTTGTGAGTTCAATCCTTGGGGGCATTTAGGGATCTGGGGCAAAAATCTGTCTGGGGATTGGTCCTGCTTTGAGCAGGGGGTTGGACTAGATGACCTCCTGAGGTCCCTTCCAACCCTAATATTCTATGATTAGCATTTGGAGCCTTTTTTAAATTTAAAGGTTCATATAGAGGCTGTCTACCAAGCATTGCTGCTGGACTATTGTATTACAGAGTCTGCAGTTAAATGACATGATTTAGTTACGACTTAATTATTAGGTTTTAACAGCTGTACTTATACTGTAAATATGGGGAAAGAGTGTGTTTCCAGCTTTGTTCTGTACTGCACTGAACAGAGGGCCAATGCTCAGCAAGACATACACAATAACATTGAAAACTAGGGCTTTCAGCATTTTGATGGCATTGCAAACTCCCACTTCAATGTTGTAGGTTCAAACCCTCTGAACTTTTTGAATGCTGAGTTTCATTTATTCTGCCGTTCTTATAAGGTCAGAAGTTTGTTGCAATGGGTAGTCTCTCCTTCTCCCATCCCTGTCCCTAATGCCACTAATCAAATATTAACTGAGAAACCAAAAGGTAACCCCAAAAGAAGTAAAAGCTGTCAAGCAACAAAGATATCTGGAACATTGCTAACAGCCTGGGCAAGCTGAGATGGCTTCAGGAGCATTTTAGATAGCATGTTGGAGCTGAATTGGCATTGGCATTTCTTAAGACAGTGGCATTTCCCAGACTGGTATCCAAATGAATATGTAGAAAGATGTATATATGTCTGTCCATAGAGTTAAGTCAATGTGAAATCATAGTGTCTGAAATAGTTGCTCAGAAAATTGACAGGGATTCATTGAGACTCCAGCCTGTTCTATCTGACTTCAGTGGCTGCCAATCTGACCCAAGTATGTGATTCATCTCCACTAATCAGAACTTGCAACCACACCTCCTTTTTCTTTTCTAGTCACTTCTGAGTTCATAGTTGTAGCGTTTTGCTATGGTTTCAGCCTGTGGAAAGTAGCAAAATGTATTTCTTTCTACATTTCTCTGAGACAAGGCCTTAGAGACCACTGTGGAATATTGTGGACCATAAGTCACTGCCACCTGCTGAGGTGGAGAAGGCTGGGGGGTTTCCACAGTACTTGGGATAACTGAACTACTAATGATCAGTTTTTTCTGATATTGAACTTATTTTTTTTCTCTTATTAGTGGACTTGTCTGGTGGGTTAGCAGAGCTCTGCAGGAAGATCTAAAGATTGCTTTGGTTAACTTAATTTGCCAATTCTCTGCTTGAAATTTCAGCTTTTATTCCCTTTGCTCTAAAAGACTGGTTTGTCCTCATTGGTAATATGTATTTTCCCCTTGATTCCCTACTCAACCCTCTTTCTGAAGGCTAAGAAGCCCTACAAATAATTCTGGGCCACTCAGCCTTCCTGGGGAGCTAATAGCTGTGTGAACAGCTACACTAGACGAGGCATGGATGTAATGCTTGGTCTCTTCACCTTAAGCCCTTTTGTATTGGACATTTCTGTGTACGGTGTGAGCAACTGACTCCGTAAAGTTTAAAAGCCAGCCTTACATCTTCGTTTCCTCAGGCAAAGGTCTGAGTTTACATAATAACACATATCTGCTCTTCCAAGACTGCCTTGTAATACAAGTATTTTTCTGACCACAGTTTAACCAGACCAGGAACCAACTCAGTTTCTTATGCAGAATCAAACATCTGCTGCATCAATCAGTACTACAATGATTGTCCTTGAAAATCTTTACACTTTTTGCCTAGTGCAAAAAGATAAATGGTTCTCTGGCATATTCCATATAAAGTGAGTACATGCACAGTGGGTGGTATAGCAATATTAATTACAATTGTCTTTGTAATTTTAATGTCCGACTCTTTGAAATGAACGTATTAATCCTCATTACACTTACCATAATTGAGTCACTGTTACCTCGTGCTCCCCACATCTGTTTGTTGTATCCACCTGTTGTCTCTCATTTTATACTTTTTTTTCCCCACCTGGAGGGCCTTGCAGGATCAGATCCGTTAATTGTGCCTCATTATATTTGTCTATGCCTTTGTACTTTGCACATTTAGAATAGAATGAGATGAAGCCGGATCAAAATTCTGTTGATATAGGACTTGGTCCAGCAGTTTTTGATCATGTGTTTCCAGTGGGGCTATTCGTGTAATTTAAGGCTGCATGATCAGGCCCATAATAGAAAGGGTATTGGGGAGCCATGTAAATGGGGCTCCATGCAGGTGCATTGGGGTCTAGTAGTCCATATTAATTGCGAGCCTAACTGTGGGAAAGTGGATAGAAGGTTAAAAATGGTTAAATTACCTGTAACAGGCAGAGTTGGTCATCTGTTGCCTTTTCCCATCAACATTTATTATTATAGATGATTGGACCATTTTGTAAACTTCCATCCACTTTCCCACAATTAGGCTCACAATTCAGGCAGGCCTATGAGGCTCCAATAGGATCACTTCACAGCATTTTAAAGATTCCTAGAGCGTTTCTCTTTCCATGTTGGATAAAATAGCCATTGTGTACAAATACAAATACAACATAAAAGGGTTTTTGGTCCTCAACTATACTGAATTTCTGAGATTTTAGATAGATTCATACTCTCAGATTTTAAGGTCAGAAGGGACCGTCATGATCATCTAGTCTGACCTTCTGCACATTGCAGGCCACCCACCCACTCCTGTAAATAGACCCCTAACCTCTATCTGAGTTACTGAAGTCCTCAAATCATGATTTAAAGACTTCAGGTTACAGAGAATCCACCATTTACACTAGTTTAAACCTGTAGGCAACCTGTACCCCATGCTGCAGAGGCAGGCAAAAAAACCCCAGGGTCTCAGCCAATCTGACCCAGGGGACAATTCCTTCCTGACCCCAAATATAGCGATCAGTTAGGGGTATATTCCTTTGTCAAGCGTTCCTCTGGATGGCATCGACTGGCACCTTCTTGGAACAGGGGGCATTGTCTTGAGTTCTCTGCTTGGTGTCCTCCTCTGGATCCCTTGTTTGATCCTGTGATCTATACCCCCATCCCTGTTTTTCATTCTCTGTCTCTTGTAATCAGCTGAGTTTCTGGCTCTGTGGCCCTTCTCTCACCTGAGAGGGCGGGCTTTCCTTTGTTTTGGTGGACTCTGCCCCCTGACTCAGGATTCAACTAGGCTGAATCAAGATACATTTTATCGAACATATGACTGGTGAGTCAAGGCCTTATAAGTAAAGTTCTAGTAACTAGTGCAGTGTATGTAAACATCAGGTTATTGTAGCAGTAAACTCATAGCATTTTCCTGCAGTCTTCTTTTACTGGGTGAAAAAGGGTTACGGTTAGGGTTTATCTGGGATGATGGCCCTATTAAATGTTGAGACGTCTCCATGCAACTTTGTTCTCTATATTAACTAAGCAGCAATAATGAAATTAACAATCAACAGGGAGTTCAACACATTCAAAATGCCCTCAACTAACAAATTATTAATCCGCCAAGGTACTTCATTCATAATTGCTCAGGGTTACTATCACAGAGGCTATGTAACAGCAGGGAATAAAGAGTCAACCATGGGCCCATCAGCAACCACCCTATTAAGGCCCAACTTAAAGAAAAGTTAAGAAAAAAATCTTCCCATGAGCTGTCAGCTCTTGTAATTTTAACTTTGCCAAAGCACGGATTTGGGAATGGATTTTTCTGGGAGGAAAAAATAAGTCTATGGCATCTTCTTTCCTGTGTAAAAAGAATGTGCTAACTACTGAAATGGGTAAGGAAAATGTAGGATGTCAGCAATAAATCTAACACAGTTGAGCCCCTCTTATATTAACCCCTCTTATCCGAATGCATCTGCTATCCTAATTTAGATTACGTTCTTCTGTGAGCATCACTTACCTGGAAAAACTCCCACTTTTATTGACACTTCCATTTACCAGAATAAATTCCATGACCTCAGTTTTATTTGGATAAATGGGGTTTTTACTGTAATAGCATAACCATTGCTGAAGGCTACCAATAGAGATGGTCAGAAAACCCAGGAAAATAATGTCACACTTTTAAAAAAAAAAATGTTCCATTTTGCATGATTTCAAATGGATTCATTTTCTGGTTTTCATGGATTTTTCACAATATTTTTACCAACATTTTATAAAAATGTCTTATTTAATAAAAACAGTGTATTCTTTGTGGGGGGGAAAAAGGGAGGGAGTCCATTTTCTATAATGTCTTAAAAACAATTTTGATAAAATTTGTCTAAAATATAGATTAAAGTCGTGGCAAGTTTCACCAAAAAAAAAACAGAAAAAAAAATCTGTCAATTTTTTCTCAAAAATGTTTATAAAAAGGCCATTATTTCATTAAAATCTTTTTGTGTGGAAAAATTTCCATCAGCTTTAGCTAGCAGTATGAGACTTCTTGCCATGAGTTTTGTTCTTGCTTATTTGAGCACAATAAGAAGGATTTAACCCGATCAAAGTTGATAAAAATACTGAAGTCACTTGGTGTCCCTTCTTTGCTTTGATCTGGAAGGTGATGGAGAAAAATAAACATACTGGAAGAGTTAGACAAGGGTTTTTTTAGCAGATTTTTTTGGGGGGCGTTTTTTGTTGCCCAAACTTATCTGATTAAAAACAATTTTGAAATTTAGTGAGAATCGTGGCAGTGGAGTTCAATATAAATGTATGCCTTGCTTATGTATTGTTCAGGTTACCCCAATATATCAATGAGGTACAACAAGAAGTTTCTTGTTCTGGCAGAGGTGCATTTTGATATGCTTCCTAAAATGGCTCTGTGGTTCCTTGACTAAAATGCCAAATGTTGTCGTTATTGTTGTTATTAATTATTTGAATTGTGGTAGCACCTTGGAGACGCAGTTATTGTCCAAGATCCTATTGCATGGAGCTGGTTGGAAATTTTTTGACAATTTTTTTCATCAAAACTTGCCAATTCATCAAAAGTGGAACAGGGACACATATCCAGACTTGAAAAGAGTCAATTTTTTTTATTGTAAAAAAAAAAAAAAAAAAATTGGTTTTGACATTTTTTGACACAACTTTTCATTTCAATGTTTAAGCTAACTAGCCTGAAAAAATGTTTTTAAAAGTCTAAATCTAAACAAGACATTTCAAAATTATTGAAACAAAATGTTTCAACTAATCCAAAACAAAAACATTATTCATTAATATTTTTTTAGATTTGGGTATTTTGTTCTGATTCAAAACAGGAAAAATTTAAGTCTTAAAAATATTCATAGGACAGGAAAACTACTTCCAACACAACTCTACTATTGTGCTTGGTGCAGTCCATACACCAAACAAAGGACAGTCCCTACCCAAAAGAGCTTCCAATCTAAAAATTTTAGCCACCTTATAACCCTTTCTAAAGTGGCATTCAACTCTTCAATGCATCAGGTACTTCCTTTATCACCATATACGTAAACTACTATTTGCCTGTTTTCTGTGAAGGTAAGGCACAAGATAAGCAGCACCCTGTCACTTTCCCTAGTTGGTAAAATTGGGAATAAGAGACCTGCACAGGTCTTGTGAGTTTATTTGCATGAATGTTTGTTTTTATAGCTAAAAGTCAGGAAGCAGAACTTGTAGTAAAAAATTTTCACCAACTAACGTTTTCCCATTAAGAATACTGTAGTAATGTTCATTGTGCAACAAAATAAAGGCCTTTTTTGTGGAGATTCTTCACCCACTGTTAAGAAGTCTCCAGTTTCATGCTACAGGACTATGATTGAGCCCCAAAGTGCTGTTCAAACATGGTGACATTTTTCAAACTAATCTTTCATTTTGGTCTGAAAAATGGACCACCACTGGTAGCTGTCTGACTCCTCTAACAACTCTCTGGTATTCCATGCTGATATAAATCACAGGAGTCGACCAGCAAAACTAAACTTGTCATGCAGATTTCTTAAAACAATTCCAGTTTTCCATTGCATGTCAATAATTTTCCTGTACAGCAGTGTTGATTGCTTTAGGAGGCCTATCACCCACCTCTGTACTTTTAACCACTGTTACTGGCAATCCTAAGAGAACCTTCTGCAATAATCTGGCTTAATGTGAGTAGGTAAACTGTCTTGTTTAAGAAATTTACTGTTGCCACTTCTCAGTCTCCCTGAAGAATATTATAACATTCATTAAACCATCACACAGCCACAAATTCGTCAAGGCCTTTGTTGGAGCTTGTATCCTTAAGCAGTCTCTGGAGGGCAGCCTGT